ATATCACCTCAACAGTCTACATCAATAACACCCTGACACCACGGGAATACCGCCATCAGAACTACTAACAACAATATCACCTCAACAGTCTACATCAATAACACCCTGACACCACGGGAATACCGCCATCAGAACTACTAACAACAATATCACCTCAACAGTCTACATCAATAACACCCTGACACCACGGGAATACCGCCATCAGAACTACTAACAACAATATCACCTCAACAGTCTACATCAATAACACCCCGACACCACGGGAATACCGCCATCAGAACTACTAACAACAATATCACCTCGACAGTCTACATCAATAACACCCTGACACCACGGAATACCGCCATCAGAACTACTAACAACAATATCACCTCAACATCATTAATTCTACATCAATAACACCCTGACACCACGGGAATACCGCCATCAGAACTACTAACAACAATATCACCTCGACAGTCTACATCAATAACACCCCGACACCACGGGAATACCGCCATCAGAACTACTAACAACAATATCACCTCAACAGTCTACATCAATAACACCCTGACACCACGGGAATACCGCCATCAGAACTACTAACAACAATATCACCTCAACAGTCTACATCAATAACACCCTGACACCACGGGAATACCGCCATCAGAACTACTAACAACAATATCACCTCAACACCCTACATAACTAACACCCCGACACCACGGGAATACCGCCATCAGAACTACTAACAACAATATCACCTCAACACCCTACATAACTAACACCCCGACACCACGGGAATACCGCCATCAGAACTACTAACAACAATATCACCTCAACACCCTACATCAATAACACCCCGACACCACGGGAATACCGCCATCAGAACTACTAACAACAATATCACCTCAACAGTCTACATCAATAACACCCTGACACCACGGGAATACCGCCATCAGAACTACTAACAACAATATCACCTCAACAGTCTACATCAATAAACGACCCCTGACACCACGGGAATACCGCCATCAGAACTACTAACAACAATATCACCTCAACAGTCTACATCAATAACACCCTGACACCACAGGAATACCGCCATCAGAACTACTAACAACAATATCACCTCAACACCCTACATCAATAACACCCCGACACCACGGGAATACCGCCATCAGAACTACTAACAACAATATCACCTCAACATCATACATCAATAACACCATGACACCACGGGAATACCGCCATCAGAACTACTAACAACAATATCACCTCAACACCCTACATCAATAACACCCCGATACCACAGGAATACCACCTTCAGAACTACTAACAACAATATCACTTCAACATCATACACCAATAACACCCCGATACCATGGGAATACCATCTTCAGAACTACTAACAACAATATCACCTCAACACCCTACATCAATAACACCCCGATACCACGGGAATACCATCTTCAGAACTACTCACAACAATATCACCTCAACACCCTACATCAATAACACCCCGATACCACAGGAATACCATCTTCAGAATTACTCACAACAATGTCACATGAACACCCTACATCAATAACACCCCGACAACATGTGAATACCATCTTCAGAATTACTCACAACAATGTCACATGAACACCCTACATCAATAACACCCCGACAACATGTGAATACCATCTTCAGAATTACTCACAACAATGTCACATGAACACCCTACATCAATAACACCCCGACACCACGGACATATCATCTTCAGAACGACTCAAATCAATGTCACCTGAACACCCTACATCAATAATACCATGATGCCAATGAAAGACCATGACTCTTTTAGAAAGTGGAGTACAACGAATCAAACATCCTGCAGTTGGATAAATATGAAACAGTTAACAGTGAAATATTGATACGACATAGTATTTGGTGTCTAAAGTATTTAAACAAACGTTCAATGGCTCTAACCAGTGAAGTGTTAAAGAAAACATAGACTGAAAGGGTATGTTTATACGGTTCTATTCATACCAACATGTATTTTTTGGAACTGTGGATTTATGTCGCGTATCTGGAAACAGGAAAAGGCAAGCAATAGGGGTATCTTCGCCCAACTCAATAGCGGTGGATGCAGCTAAGTACGATTATCTCCCTTCCACTGCAAAACACATTGATTGCATTGCGACACCCCGATGTTGTTATATCCCTGCACATGCATCGACACCTTGATGCTGTGAATCTCGAACAGGGACACAGACACACACATCTACAATACTCCTACAGCAGTTTCATTCATTCACCTGTCGACGTGCTACCTTGGTGCGATGTCAATTAATTTTAGCGTCAGATGTAAAATCACTTGTCCAGTGTATTGATTGAACCCAAAAGGCAGGAAAAAGAATTATTTCTTATGTGAACCTTTTACGGTGAAATGTAATAGATATACGTCTGCTATTATTTCAATGCATTAAGTCTACAGGCCCTTTGTACATAAAGACACTGTCACAATGGCGATATACAAGCTCGTTTTCGGATAATCATTAGATCAGAATTTATAGAAAATGTCAATTTAACAATTTTTTATAAATGGATAGTTGGGTGCGTATACAATCAAAATAGGACTTAAATCTATCGTAGATGATTATATGCAAAACATTTAAGTAGAAAATATAACTCATCTTCCACAATATTAGAGGGGCATTTTTTGCAGAATGTCACGTTATAGGGAACTTACATTTGTGTGCTGCATGTAAATCGAGATAGGCATGTGCATAATTAGTAAACGTTTAAACATGTTGAATATTCTTCAGAGTTAAAAGTCTTAAATTGGTAATGGAATGAATCATATTTTCAGCTTAAGAAATCCTTATGAAAAATGTTCAGGTGATTTAGTTCCAGCTGATGGTAGATGAAGGCACCATGTGACTCTACAGTGTAACCATCACTGATCTTGGTGGTAAGTTGTTTCCTGTGAAAGCCTGGCATTTGTATTTACCACAGACATAGGTTAGCCGAAGGGTACCCGTGTGACATCTCGATTGTTCCAAGATTTCCGTATTGTACGTCACAACGGTATGCTTTTATATTTTAACAGAATTCCGATCCTGGAGGAATGTCAAAGGGTAGCTCTGAGGCTGGTTCCAGCTGATGCAGGAACATGCCAGATCAACAGTACAACCTTGTGGTTCTCATGACAGTCCTGCTGGTCTTGAAACGCTTAGCACCGATTACGTAGTACCATGTCAGGCAACGCCACCATTCAAGGAAACTATTACAACCAAACGCTACATTACAGCATTACTGGTCAGCTAATGCAAATCAAATATCCTTAGCCACTTATCTATGCATACATAAAGGTTAAATAAATGAACATGCTGGGCATACCTAAAACATGGTGTCGACTAGTGAAACATATGTGCATTTGCCAGCAACACGTTTATTATTATGTTGTCATGACAGTGGAATGTCAATGAATTAGTCGATACCACGAATGCTCTAACTATGCAATTTGAGGTTCTCAGGGACATAACTCTTGGAATCTTCCACCGTTTGAAATATACGACTACATGTATCTTGCTGACAAATATGACCTGGTAACGTGCACAGGAAAACATGACTTTCAAGATAATGTCTTGTTGTTGTTTGGAAGTACATTATGTTCAGAATTATATACAGGATACGTACGATAGGATTTAAAGAGCGTACCACTATTACAAGTTTCAGCTTTTACTAGTATTTTGTAAAATGGACATTTGCCAGTCGTGTTATTTATTTCCTGTTTGCTGTGTCCGTGTCACGTTTTTCCTGCAGTTGTGAACAATGGCCCATTGTCGTACATGTTATATAGATATACATATACATGTATAGCATACACATGAGCCATGAGGAAAAGTCAGTATATTTCGATCCTCCATTAACAGGAAAATGCGATAACAAGTCCAGGTGCATGTTATTCCTGAAATAACCAGGAACAAGTGAAAGACTATATGTACGTCATGTAAAATTCTATAGATATGTAAAATTCATTTCGTGTTGATAATAAGCATCATGTTCCTTTAAAAAGGCACTTCATCATTATTTCCAAGGACAAGTATAGACATTGTTTTAAAAGTATTTTCAAGTTGCTGGTAAAAGTAAAAGTAAAATGGGACATTACATCGGACATTATTTTGATCACTAATGCCTCATCGTTATTAACCTAAAATTATCTATTTTAAACCGCTACAATTTAAGTATTCTTCCATATGTCCCACTGTTCAATGTCAACATGACCCGTGAAGGTCCGGGTTAGACTATTGATCTTCAGTAACCCATGCTTGTCGTAAGAGGCGACTCCAGGTTGACACACTGACAGGTGTTGCATCTCAACACCTGTCAACACCTTGATATGTATATATCAAGCACTAGACGGGAAAGGGGAACAACTCGACACACCTTATAAAGCAATGTAAAGTGGGAGGTGTGCATGTGAGACGCATGCAGTAATGATTACCGTGATGTTGCCACAACAGTGTTATGTAATACCGATCGATACCTTGTTGCCCGTAGCAACCTAACTACGCAGTAACAACTTTAAAGGGACACAACTCGTCGACTCTTGGGCTTCATGACAATGACGTGTCTACCAAGAACCGATGTGTAGAATGTGTGTCATCTTCAGGTGACTAAGTGTTTCTTGGTATTAGTGTCAAATGTCAATACCAAGTAAAGCATTCTGTTATGCAGTTGCCCTGACTAGGGTGTGCCACGTTCATAACAAATCTCTAAACAGGTTATTGTTGGTTCCTAGCTACGCATGCGACCTATGCATGTCATTATATTGTTGTTTAGTAAACAACATACAAGTGACACTGCAATAAATGCTATGTTATGTTTGTATCTATTGTAAACACTGGCTTATCATGCCTTCTGTACATGTTCATGATTGCAGTATGTGAGACTCCATTGAAATGTGTATATGCATTTATTCCATAACTGATTCAGCAGTTAACATCAAATTGATCTTTCCATATATGCCAAACTTATCAGATTGTAAGGACTTTTATTCAATTTAGGAACAGGAAAATCGAGATACAAATACGTAGGATGAAGGTGAAAAAGAACAATGGTGAGCGTGATAATACAGTTCAGTTTATACTGTTACCAGCGAAAGCTGTCCATATTTGATAAAATAATTTTCCTGTACACAGCCGCGCTGTATAGTGCAAAATGTGATACGTGTGGTCTATTTTAACATACAAATACATACATAGGCAGACATTTCCATATTGGGATAAATTACCCTAAATGGATATAACAACAATTTTCGGGTGTTAGGCAAATGGTTAAGATCGATTGTGACCACCGATATTTTGTCATCATAGCATATAGTATGATTCTTTGTGCAAAGGCTAATAGGTAAGGACAAGAGGCACTGTTATGCAGTTTGGACATCGATCTTGCAGTTTCTATTAGATACAACCTTCGGCATTGTAATTTCATTCTACATTGGTCACATGGTCGTGTATTTTATCTAAATTGTTTTCCTGTTAGAAACATTATACACGTGCATGCACGTGACTTCGCACAAGGGTATGCCAGTGTCATTTTTTGACAAATATCTTTCTACTTGTAAAGTCGGTAAGTTAATTGTGTGATCATGAATAGATGTTTAGTTAACTACCATATGGTTTGATCCCTAACGACATCAATACATACACGTGTTCTATTACTGACATTGCACAAATGAGATGACTCAGTCACCCCAATGCATGTGACTCTAACTGCAATGCCTTTGCACAATATATGCACCATTAAAACCATATTTGGACATTTGCCATTACAACAAGGATGTAACTATTTATCAACTCAACAAGTGCTCCATGGTGACCAATGAGCGCCCATTTCAGTCGCCTTTCAACTTGGATCAAACAACAAGGAAACACCATGCTTTCAGAACCATGGTTACCTTCCCGGTTGAAACACAAATAACCCCCCAAAATAGAACATCCGGCCTTTGGAATTATGACATTCTTTGAGTTGAAAAGATCGTCCGTTTTAGTCATAATCCAATTCACGCCCTGTCGTTCACCACACCTGAACATGTGTCAAAGTGACCGTTGCCAAAGTGATAGCACGAATATAAAAGGCCAGTGAACAATGCCTTTTTACTGAAAGTCAGGTGCGAACCGTGATTGCATAAGAGTGGAACCACAGCCCTTTTGAGATTTCAACAACAGATGTCAGTGGTGTTTTTCTGTTTCCTCGATCGAAGATTCAGTTCTCATATACGTGTAGATCACCTGAACAATATGAAAATGAATGACAGTTAAAGATAGATAAATTATTTTAAAATAAAAAAAATATGTTTAAAGATTTGAATTGATGACACACACATTACGTTATTCTCGTTTATAATGTTGACGTCTGAAATTACCTGCATTTGGTTCAGTTGGGGTCTTAATGCTTGATATGTTCAGATCCTCGTAGACTTGTGTTGACCTCATTTGAAGACCTTGGTACTCCGAATTACCTGAAAGAATAGGTCACAAGAAAGAACCCTCAGAACGATTCTGGTGTTTGCAGAGATTGAGGTCTCATGTGTTAACATGAGGTCAGTGCCTCTATGACCAGCGTCTGGTCAGATTTCCAGTACGAGGCATTACAGAACAAATGTTATATAATCGACTATGTGCTAATTCCAAATGTCTAACTTACATTCCGTGGGTGATTTTTCAAAGGATTTCAGTCCTGTGTATATCTGTTTGTCACACTCGTTGTCTTGAAGGCCAGAGTAAATACTTGCATCTATTGGATAAGTCAAAGAAAACCTTATAAGTGCAACAAAAATAGATAAAAATATGTTGGTATATCTATGGGGAGTTGAAAAGGATTATGCATAATTGACGGCTGTATGACACATGTCATTGTGGGAAATTGAATTATCGTCAAGGCGAGACTTTTATATGGAAGTCAAATTCTTTATTGTGATAGACACGAGGTTTCTAATTATAGTCTTACTCCTTCATTCACCCGATGAAGGAGTGAGAATATACTTAGAAACGTCGTGTCTATCACAATAAAGAATTTGACTTCCATATAAAAGTGCTGCCATTATGTGTATCACTTCTAAATGCCATTCAAAGAATAATCAATCGTCGCAACAACGTCCTAGTCAACATTATTGTAACAGTTCAATTTGCAATGCGCTTGGCACAGCTGAAGGGAAGGAATGTATGTTGAACGGCTGTGTCACAGCAAACGGGCGACAGTGTAATACAGTGCATGAACATGAGATTTACAATTCATTCGCAATCATACCTTGGGTGTTCTGCATTGCGCCTGTATGTGATGCTCCTTCATTCCTGAAACCATTTTAAATCTATTATACAAAGGCTTTACGTTACGAAAATAATGTACTCTATATTTAGTGTATATCTCTGCATGTTATAATGTTTTGACCACGTTTTGTCACCTGTATTGTTAATGCGCTACAATCGTAAGAAGTGAAATTGCACTTGTGGACAGTGCAAAGGAAATATACTTAAGGCAACTGGAGAATCATCTAAAGTACAATATGTGAATCAAGACTACGTGAACATCCTTAAGATAACAACAATCTCAAGTACATATCATTAGCTAAAAGTAATGCAATATATTCTTATGATTGTTTGTGGATTGGCATCTGAACGTTGGTTATCACTCAACGAGCAGTTAGTCCCAGTGAGTGTCGTGTGTGTTTATATTCAATCTTGAAATAAAAATAAAATATAAAAGAATTAATTTTGAATAATGATCAATAAATAATGTTATACCCTAGGAAAGGATTCCATCAGAATAATAACTCCGAAAAGGGAACCTATTAGATATCCATGATTAAATGATCCGTTGTATGTGTAGTCATAGTTAGTACACCCTGTGTATTACCCGTAAGTAGACCTACTTGGTTTCCTCAAAACACGTGAGAGACTTCCTGGATAAGACGATGATGACTGCATTACCTATCAGTAAAACTACACCGATAGATATCCCTGCTATGACGGCTGGGTCTGAAACAAGATGAACCATGACGTTTCCTTAGATATAATAATTGTAGCCACAAATACGTGTCATATTTCAGCAGGACAATTATTTTTTTCTGTTTGCTGAGAAGAATGAAAGAGAATATTATATATTCTTGTTATGACTATTCAGCTTTGGACAACCATGACGTGTTTTTGTTTACCTATATATTACAGCAAGGTTGCTATTATATTGAGTCTATTAGTGATAGACATGAAACATAGAATTTTTGGATGTCAACTTCTTTATTATGAGGAACAGAATATTTCAGAGAATGCTCTTTCTCTTTCATTCTTCACATTGCTAATCACCAACCAGCGATAAGTAACTATAGGCGTCCCTTGTTTAATTACCAGGTTTGTCTTCTTACCACTTGTGTTACTCTTACATATACAAAAATAAGGTTGTTGCATCCTAGCATTCAATCACCTGATGAAGGAATATGGTCCTTGCATCCTAGCATTCAGTCACCTGATGAAGGAATATGGTCCTTGCATCCTAGCATTCAATCACCTGATGAAGGAATATGCATGCACTCCTAAATGTTGTGTACCTATGTTAAAGAACTTGAAGTTATTATTGTTGATTGAGTTATACAATAAAATTCATAGATGCAAATGCATATTAAGTGCCAATAAATAATTCTTGAATTTTCGAGAAAGAAGCCAAATGAATCATTATCATGCCTTTTAAATGTGATTCTGTCCTCCCCTCAACAGATACAGTGTGTATACTGTCTCCGTATATGTTCCTTGTAATGATCCTCACGTAGTATGTCGTGTCAGAATCGAGATCATTGAGAACAACATGGTGGTACTTCCCTCTTCCTGTTTCTTCATAAGACCCAGCTTCAGCCCAGTGTCTCTTGTCTTTGCTATACTCAACAGTAAAGATCTGAACCGACCCTCCATTAAACTCCTGTTTCCATGCAATATTCAGTGAGGACGAATCCGTAGCATGTACTGTGACATCGGTAGGAGCAAGTGGAGGGCCTGTCGTTGGAAATACGTACAAAATCATCGTTGAATTTAATTGTGGCATTCAATACGGAATGGACAGGTGTCGGAATACACAATGTTTTAATGATTATAATATAGCTCTAAAATGGCGGGACCAAAATTTTATGCCGGTTTTGGCAGTGTGCCGGATAAGACAGGTAACAGTGTGGGCAGGTTTCACTGCATTTACAATTTAATATGCTTATATAGAAAGCTAAATTACGAGTTGACTCTTTATGTGTTAACTGCATGTGTTCAAATATACATTACCTTGTGATACAAGAATAAGAGTTTCCACTCTCTGCCCCACGGCGTTGTTTGCGTGAACCTGGTACAACCCAAAATCGTCTTCTTGTAAGTCTTGCAGGTTTAGAGTGGATGCCACCGTCAATGCCGAGGTACTGGTCTCTCCAGACAAGGATGATAGATTGTTCGGGTAATATCCTTCTGGTCTCATCCAAATGATTGTTGGACGAGGATATGACAGGATTGTGATTGAAAGTATTACATTGCCACCGTGTGATGATACGTATTTGCGGTGTAGAGGGGACATCTCATCAGGTCTGGGCGCACCTTTAGTTGGAAAGAGGATACTTGTATAGGATACAGTGAAACTCTATGGATTCTCTAGACCAAAGAACTACTTTAGCCATTTGATCTGAACTAACTCATGATAGTATTTGATTTACTTTTTTAAAGGACATTCGTTTTGCCCAGTGGCAGGTTAAGAACTATCCAGGAACGTTATCATTAAAGATATGTATATATTCTGATTTTAGTGCAATGTTTTGTGAGTATCTAGTGACAAAAAAACAAACAAATCAAAACAAAAAACCCGTTACTACTGAATTCAGTGAGTGTTATTTATGACGAATGTAATATTTGTCCTGAATGCTTACATCTTACGAAAAGTTCCAAATAGCCTCTAGCAGGATCGTCTACACTGTTTTCAGCTTCACATGAGTATCTCCCTGTGTGTTTACAATCAGCTGCCCATGTATACTCCACCGTCAGAGACTTGAATGTCGTTGTTAGCTCTTTGCGTCCAAATAATAGTTTCAGGGTCGAGAGTGGATTGCTGTCAACTTCACACCTCAGTGTGATCCTGTCACCTTCAGAAACAGTCACTTGGTTTGTTGCGTGGTTGACGGACAGGGTACGTATTTTAGGCTTATCTGAAACAAAACATGAATGAAATTGTCATCAAGAATAATATGTCACAACATTCAAGCATCCAGATCCTGTGGACCGCTATGACCTTCGTGTTTCTTGAAACAAAAATCATTCCCGTTGTGAAACAAACAAATACAATGACATTCACATCAACACAGTCATATCAATGTACATCACAGTTACCTAAACTGTGCCATAATTTCAGGAACTACAAGAGTATCTGGAATCAACATTGCCATGAGTGACTCCGCAGATGGTAAAGCCTTTATTCATTGCTGTATGTTATCCGGGTTATTTTAACGATTTCCCCGTCTAAGGTGTATGCTGTTCAACGTCTGTGAACCGGTGATTATTTCAAATACTCATATGGCGAAAAGAGATATTTTCTAATTGATTTGTTACCCTTGCTGTCCACTATTTGAGAATTCAGAAACTTGGGACATATGCTATATGGAGGGAACATACATTGTGATGAGATAATAGACACTGACCGAAATCTATGTTATCATGCCCTTAGGAAATCACAAACGTGAATAGAATGTCAATAATTACATTGCAGCACATGTGGTTCGAGTCAGAATTCATAATCTCCGGGTTTGTTTTCAAATTATCTGGTAATGGGAAAATAAAAAACTCTAAACTTATGAATCATGTAGCAATGTTAGTCCTGAGACACATTATAGGACTAACAATGATATTTACTCTGTACATCCACTGTCATCTCCACAGAGTCAGATCACACTACAGATGTCCCCACACAAGGCCTGAGGGTGTTTGGAGCTGTACACACATATGTCCAGTATTTTAACAATGATACTTACTCTGTACATCCACTGTCATCTCCACAGAGTCAGATCACACTACAGATGTCCCCACACAAGGCCTGAGGGTGTTTGGAGCTGTACACACATATGTCCAGTATTTTAACAATGATACTTACTCTGTACATCCACTGTCATCTCCACAGAGTCAGATCACACTACAGATGTCCCCACACAAGGACTGAGAGTGTTGGTAACTGTACACACATATGTCCAGTATTTTAACAATGATACTTACACTATACATCCACTGTCACCTCCACAGTGTCAGATCTCACTACAGATGTCCTCCCACAAGGCCTGAGGGTGTTTGAGCTGTACACACATATGTCCAGTATTTTAACAATGATACTTACTCTGTACATCCACTGTCATCTCCACAGAGTCAGATCACACTACAGATGTCCCCACACAAGGACTGAGAGTGTTGGTAACTGTACACACATATGTCCAGTATTTTAACAATGATACTTACACTATACATCCACTGTCACCTCCACAGTGTCAGATCTCACTACAGATGTCCTCCCACAAGGCCTGAGGGTGTTTGGAGCTGTACACACATATGTCCAGTATTTTAACAATGATACTTACTCTGTACATCCACTGTCATCTCCACAGAGTCAGATCACACTACAGATGTCCTCCCACAAGGCCTGAGGGTGTTTGGAGCTGTACACACATATGTCCAGTATTTTAACAATGATACTTACTCTGTACATCCACTGTCATCTCCACAGAGTCAGATCACACTACAGATGTCCCCACACAAGGACTGAGAGTGTTGGTAACTGTACACACATATGTCCAGTATTTTAACAATGATACTTACACTATACATCCACTGTCACCTCCACAGTGTCAGATCTCACTACAGATGTCCTCCCACAAGGCCTGAGGGTGTTTGGAGCTGTACACACATATGTCCAGTATTTTAACAATGATACTTACTCTGTACATCCACTGTCATCTCCACAGAGTCAGATCACACTACAGAATCCCCACACAAGGACTGAGAGTGTTGGTAACTGTACACACATATGTCCAGTATTTTAACAATGATACTTACACTATACATCCACTGTCACCTCCACAGTGTCAGATCTCACTACAGATGTCCTCCCACAAGGCCTGAGGGTGTTTGGAGCTGTACACACATATGTCCAGTATTCTAACAATGATACTTACTCTGTACATCCACTGTCATCTCCACAGAGTCAGATCACACTACAGATGTCCTCCCACAAGGCCTGAGGGTGTTTGGAGCTGTACACACATATGTCCAGTATTTTAACAATGATACTTACTCTGTACATCCACTGTCATCTCCACAGAGTCAGATCACACTACAGATGTCCCCACACAAGGACTGAGAGTGTTGGTAACTGTACACACATATGTCCAGTATTTTAACAATGATACTTACACTATACATCCACTGTCACCTCCACAGTGTCAGATCTCACTACAGATGTCCTCCCACAAGGCCTGAGGGTGTTTGGAGCTGTACACACATATGTCCAGTATTCTAACAATGATACTTACTCTGTACATCCACTGTCATCTCCACAGAGTCAGATCACACTACAGATGTCCTCCCACAAGGCCTGAGGGTGTTTGGAGCTGTACACACATATGTCCAGTATTTTAACAATGATACTTACTCTGTACATCCACTGTCATCTCCACAGAGTCAGATCACACTACAGATGTCCCCACACAAGGACTGAGAGTGTTGGTAACTGTACACACATATGTCCAGTATTTTAACAATGATACTTACACTATACATCCACTGTCACCTCCACAGTGTCAGATCTCACTACAGATGTCCTCCCACAAGGCCTGAGGGTGTTTGGAGCTGTACACACATATGTCCAGTATTCTAACAATGATACTTACACTGTACATCCATTGTCACCTCCACAGAGTCAGATCTCACTACAGATGTCCTCCCACAAGGCCTGAGAGTGTTGGTAGCTGTACACACATATGTCCCTGCCTGTGATCTCTGTATGTTAGCTATGGTCAGAGTAGATCCAGTCTGAGGAGTAAACTGGGCATTGTTTTTCCGTGTCCATTTCACTGTTGCCACCGGATTTGATTCGACAGAGCAGGCCACATTGAGATTTTGGAATTCCGTGACAGAGACTGATCTGATAGCCTGCACCGTTGGGCCGTCTGGAAGTAAAATGTGAACAAAGTGATTTGTTTGTTGTTTTATGCATACTCAGCTATAATCACTGACACAAAGTATATATCACTCAACTCCTAAGAGAGCATCATGTTTTCTTTTTAATTTTGAATCTAACAGAAACCTTGTTTTAAATATATATCAACAACCGAACTTTATTGTCTCATTGAAATACTTGATATGCATATGTCTATAAACTATCATGAAGACAGTAACATGCCTTGTTTAGAACAAAATACAGGTTATCAGTTTGAGTGGCATTCTAGAAGTTGGTGGTATAGAGATGAGAAGACTTTATGGATGATCAACTTTTTTATTTTATCAATGGCGAAGTTTCGGTCTAGATTCAAGCAGTACAGGCTTGAAAACGGTATAAGGATCTATAGTGTTGGTAGCTGTACACACATATGTCCAGTATTCTAACAATGATACTTACACTGTACATCCACTGTCACCTCCACAGAGTCAGATCTCACTACAGATGTCCTCCCACAAGGCCTGAGAGTGTTGGTAGCTGTACACACATATGTCCCTGCCTGTGATCTCTGTATGTTAGCTATGGCCAGAGTAGATTCAGTCTGAGGAGTAAACTGGGCATTGTTTTTCCGTGTCCATTTCACTGTTGCCACCGGATTTGATTCGACAGAGCAGGCCACATTGAGATTTTGGAATTCCGTGACAGAGACTGACCTGATAGCCTGCACCGTTGGGCCGTCTGGAAGTAAAATGTGAACAATGTGATTTGTTTGTTGTTTTATGCATACTCAGCTATAATCACTGACACAAAGTATATATCACTCAACTCCTAAGAGAGCATCATGTTTTCTTTTTAATTTTGAATCTAACAGAAACCCTGTTTTAAATATATATCAACAACCGAACTTTATTGTCTCATTGAAATACTTGATATGCATATGTCTATAAACTATCATGAAGATAGTAACATGCCTTGTTTAGAACAAAATACAGATTATCAGTTTGAGTGGCATTCTAGAAGTTGGTGGTTTAGAGATGAGAAGATTTTATGGATGATCAACTTCTTTATTTTATCAATGGCGAAGTTTCGGTCTAGATTCAAGCAGTACAGGCTTGAAAACGGTATAAGGATCTATACCGAAACGTCACCATTGATAAAATAAAGAAGTTGATCATCCATAAAGATTTGTCATCAAAATAAAGATTGAAATTTCATTATATTCATCGATAAAATTAACCCATGTCAAATGTTTGATGCAACGTATACCTGACTAGCATATATGCACACGCACATTCGTTTCACATGAATAATGAGTGTAGTTCCTTTTGCACCGTTAATTATATGAACATATGCATCTTCAATAACACTTTGAAGAAACTCTTTGTTACCTACACTGTGCATCTACAATAACAGGTGATGAAGTGTCCGTAACATGCCTCCCAATACACGTGTAGCTTCCACCGCTGTTCCTGGTGATAGGACTGAGGTTGAGTACTCTCCCTGTTGCTAATGATATTGGAGCACCGCGAAACGTCCACAAATATGACGTCACCCGTTCTGCATCTGATGACGTCGCTTGGCATGTGAATCTGACATATTGCTGCCCCACAAAAACTCTGTACGGTCGGCAATTGAAAGCCCCGGTAATTATGCTAGCTCTCGGGAGATCGTCTAAACCAAAAGAAGTTAAACTTATTAAAAAAATGTACTTCATATGTATGACTTTATGTCTCAACATACCCATATAGAACAAATTGAGTTGTTAGTAGATAAATCAGCTTTATGGACGTAATGAACCCACATTGAAACAGTATTAGGCATGAAGATGCACCTACACCTAAGTAAACAGTAGCACGATGTGGTCATTTTTTAAAATTAACAGAAACTAGCCATTTTGCAGGAAATTGTTCCACGTACACGTGCAAATTTGCCCAGTGTAGATGGTTCAAACTGTTCATCCTAATCGGTCCAACATAAGGACGACGTCGGGAACATGCAC